TCAACTGCAAGGCTCAGATTTTGGATAAAATCTTATACGGAAGGCAGCGTTGGGGGGGGGGATTACAGACAACATATCCCCAAACTCCTTTTTAATTTCCTCTTCTTTGTCCAAAGCAAACTTAAAATTAGCCCAAGCTAAAATTAAATGCTCGGGAAGGGATTAATTCAGTGAATAATTTGGAATCGTCGTCTACTAGAAAAGATTTATGGACCTCATAAAAAAAAATTAATGCATATATGTGGCAAAGGGACATGTTTATGTTGCTGAATTATTATCTTTTCCAAGATAACTTAGGAAAGCTTAGGTGTGTTTTAAGTAATGGCCTGAAACTGAAGTTCTGATTAATCTGATTTGAGACTTCCGACGCTTTGTTCAGCAACTGCTCAAAGTCGCGGCGGTGCTGAAAAAGCGACGACCGGTCCTCGCACTTAAGACCGTCGTCCCTGCACTCATGTGATGAAAACTCAAACGCTTTGGCAACTGGCACGTATTTACAACGGTTGCAATATCCCAGGGTCCTTGGATCCCCATTTATGACCACCTCATCCAGCTTCTGACAAGCCAGATTGAACTGAGTTGCTTAACTGCCAAGGCAAAAAAAAAAAAAAAATGTCATAAATTGAGAACTCCTTTTATTTGACCTCTTTTCACACTTCCCCTGCACTAGAGCCCAACAATAGGTTCCTAGTTGCACCTTGTGTGAACCCATCGCAACTGCGGCTCAACCGAGAGACCGTAACAAAACAAACCAGGATTTAACCAGGGCCATTTTCTCACGCGCCTGGGTAAAAAGAGCGGAGGAATTGTGGAGATAAGAGCGCTGGGAGGAAGCCCTGCCCCATTCCCGCTCACCTGGGTTCTCATGAGGGGGGCTGTTGAGATCCTTGGGCCCCCCGACACTCAGCTTGAGATCCGTGGGGTCCTTTTCAGCGGCGGCGAAGGTTTCATCTTGAAATTCGGAAATCTGGAACATGGTCAGGGGGCTGGCATCGCCCCTGCCTCTTGACTCCGTGTTTTCCAGAAGGCTTAGAGGTAGTGGGCTGCCTGGGGGGGGGAGGAAGGAAGGAAGGAAGGAAGGTTGGAGGAGAAGGGAAGGGAGGAAGGAAAAGGAGAGAAGAGGGAGGGAAAGAAGAAGGGGGAAGAAGGAAGATTGGAGAAGAGGGATGGAGGAAGGAAGAAAAAGAAGAGAATAGGGAGGGAGGGAAAGGAAGCGAA